GGGGGGGGGGGTGCTCTTCTATTACATGTTTTGCAGTAAATTTACTACACAATTTAGAGATTTGGAGATAGACCGAATGATCAAAATTACCAGAACGTTCTCTGGACTAGTTCTCTTCAAAAATTCACACTATTCAACAAAAAGACGGGCAGACTCAATGAGATCCCCCTCGATGAACTTGACATGAACTTTTGCATCAATGAACAAATACATTTATTACAAACAAACAAAAAATAGTCCAATCGGGTCAATATATATTTCATACTCATGAGAATCCAAAGTTAAAACTGTTCAGATGGCTTAACATCTCTGACCTTCTCAGCAGTGATCTGAGTGAAGTTCTCCCAGACCTTCTCCCAGATGGTGACCTTGTAAATGGCACGTTGTCCATTAGCTTTAAGTGGACAGTTGGCTGTGGTGATCTGTTTGGCTTGGATTGGTCCACCTTTGGCACATGTGGATTCTCCAACCAGGACTTCAAGAATGGTGTTGGTTCCAGCAACGACTTGGACTTGAGCTTTCAGGACCTGAAGAAATGGAAATTAGGGGAACTCTTTTAAAATACCGTAAACACTCTGGTAGATACCCTATACTTGTACTTTGAGCTAAATTATCTCAAATCCTGGGCAATATACTAAAAATGTGCCAACTGACAAAACACTTCTGATTTTATGATAAACAATTTGTCAGTTGACACATTTTTGATATCTTTCATAGAAATCGAGATAATCGAGATCGTGTAGGGTTGCCTCCTATAAGAGTGTTTACAGTACCTTGAACATTCTCTTCTTCCCAAAACTAACCTTAATTGGAACCAAATAATTTCCTCCATTGTTTTGTCCGTTGATTTCTGGAATCGATTTCCATGCAGAACCCTGAAATTACCCTCAATAAAATGCTAAACTTCTCTATCACAACTTACAGTATACTCTGTAGCATTAGCATCAGACAGTCCTCCGGCCATTTGTCCATTGGCAGTCATAGTCAAAAACAAAACAACAATAAGGAAAACGTATTGCATTTTTCAATACTTCTCACGGTTGGACTGTCAGTCAACAGTCGCTTTTTATACCGTCGAGAGGGTGGGAGTGTGCAGTGTGATAGGGGTCGACGAAAGACCAACAAATTGGACGGAGAGAAACAGAGAGAAAAGAAATGGAAAAGTCTAGGTTATGACTAATCGAAATTACGAATTTTATGAGGAAGATCGATTGATCAGCGAACGTATTGCTATAGAAATTGTGATATCATGTTCAGAAATTATTAGGAAGTTGGTTCGATTATCTCGATCCCTTTTATCCCTCTTATTGGGGGACGAGCTATTGCAATTGTAATGTGACAGTTGAAACCGAACTTCAAGATCTTTTTCGCGAAAATTTGGAACATTCTAGAATCTCCTTTTTTCAAAGCATCCATGTTATTATTATGGTACGAAAAATCGGAGCTGTGGAAGAGAAACGCCGGTGGCCTTGGCTAGAAGTCCCACAACGAAAACTACAGGAACCTAAAAAGTTCTATAATTTATTCAAAATTTTCCGGAAAATAAATCTATTTTTGAATTCACCACCTCGATTTTTGGTGGGTTTCCAGTCAATTTTTTCACTTTCGAAAATATTTATCTTCCGACTTTTTTTGGGGAAAATTACAGAAAACTCGTAGAGAAGCAGTGAAAAGCTCGAAAATAAATTAGGGAAATAAGCATATTTTAGGTTACGGTAGTTTTCTTTGTGGGACCTTCGGCCATCGGATTTTCTTGTACCAAAAGAATAACGTCATTTTCTTCCTTCGCCTTGCTATCAATCTTTTATCAAAACAATAACACGGTGGAATTAGGTCGAACTGTCACAAAACAACATTCAACTCATGTGCCAGAGGGGAAGGAAAATGTTTGATAAGTTTTGAAACTCTTTCGAAACTTTTTTAACAGCATGTGATGATTGAATGACTTGTTTATTTGTAACACATGAGAAGAATTTTCGTTGAATGGAATTTCCAGATGGAATTTCCAGAATTTCTTTCACTGTTAACAGTTTTGTTTCATTTGAAGTTTAGGAAGATTTCAGATTCTTTTCCACGGCTTTACATTTTACTGGAGTACTGTACATGACGAGCGTTCAA